CAGGACTGATTATTTTCGATGACAAAGTGAAAGACACTCTTAATTCACACCACCGCTTCCCCACTGAGAATCATTATCTGAACCTGCATGATAATCCAAAAAGGTCAGACAGATTCCTTCAGACTGACACACCGCTCACTAAATCGCTAAGATTAATCTCCTCACTCCATTGTCACGCAGGCCTCCTGGTTGAGGACTCCTTTGTCAATCATCTCCTTTTACTCCCCCTCACTGATATGAGTTAAAATACACTTCCACAATATACTCTTTTACAACAACAGCAATAACATTTGATGTTAACAAGTAGTATTTATAATTGTATACTTGTATTCAGCACAGTATATTTACTTTTTTAACAGATAGAAATATTACCAGACTTTAATTTTGCTTCCAAGATAGTAATAGGAATTCTATAATGTACATATGTTATGTAAGTGCTGTTACAGGAAAATAATCAACAATGAAGTGGTGTGATGTGGCCCTATGTAAAGTGTAGTAAATGTAGCAGACAGAAGTTGATTATTTTCAGATAACAGTGTGTACAGAAGTGTTTTATTCCTCTTATGCCACAGAAATTTGCCAACAATTAACTTATTAATAAACAACAACATTTTTAAGACCCCATTTAAGACAATATATAAGACAACTGGTAACTGTTGTTATAGAACATTAATCACATTAATTATTAATAAATATTAATCAACAACTCCTAACCAGTCAGATTTCAGAATTCAACATCAGTGTGGTAAAAATATATACAACAGGGTGTCCCAAAAGTCACCATACCTAGGGGACTATGTATGCCAGCACCACGTCGGTTGTGCCTTCATCAGTGGATGTTCGTGAACGTCCACTTCTCGGTTGGTCCGCAACACTTCCAGTCTTTTTGAATTTGTTAATAAGTTTGGCAACTGTGTTGTGTGATGTGTTTGCCATGTTTCCTCTTAAAGTCCATCACAACCTTGTGACAGCTTCCTGATCCAGCCGTGAGAATGATTGCAAAGTGTTTATATATATATATATATATATATATATATATATATATATATATATATATATATATATATAGATCAGCCATAGCATTAAAACCACCTGCCTAATATTGTGTAGGTCCCTCTTGTGCCACCAAAACAGCTCTGACCCGTCGAGGCATGGACTCCACAAGACCTCTGAAGGTGTGCTGTGGTATCTGGCAGCAGGTAGTTAGCAGCAGATCCTTTAAGTCCTGTAAGTTGCGAGGTGGGGTCTCCATGGATCAGACTTGTTTGTCCGGCACATCCCACAGATGCTCGATCAGATTGAGATCTGGGGAATTTGGAGGCCAAGTCAACACCTTGAACTCCTTGTCATGTTCCTCAAACCATTCCTGAACAATATTTGCAGTGTGGCAGGGCACATTATCTTGCTGAAAGATGCCACTGCCATTAGGGAATACTGTTGCCATGAAGGGGTGTACTTGGTCTGCAACAATGTTTGGATAGGTGGTACGTGTCAAAGTAACATCCATATGAATGCCAGGACCCATGGTTTCCCAGCAGAATGTTGCCCAGAGCATCACACTGCCTCCGCTGACTTGCTTCTTCCCATAGTGCATCCTGATGCCATCTCTTCCCCAGATAAGCGAGGCACACGCACCCAGCCGTCCATATGATGTAAAAGAAAACATGATTCATCAGACAAGGCCACCTTTTTCCATTGCTCCATGGTTCAGTTCTGATGCTCACGTGCCCAATGTAGGCTCTTTCTGCGGTGGACAGAGGTCAGCATGGACACTCTGACCAGTCTGCAGCTACACAGCCCCATACGCAGCGAGCTGTGATGCACTATGTGTTCTGACACCTTTCTATCATAGCCAGCATTAACTTTTTCAGCCATTTGTTCTACAGTAGCTCTTCTGTGGGATCGGACCAGACAGGCTAGCCTTTGCTCCACACGCGTATCAGTGAGCCTTGGGCGTCCATGACTCTGTCGCCGGTTCACCGGGTTGTCCTTCCTTGGACCACTTGTGGTAGATCTGTCACTTGCTGCCTAATATATCCAACCACTTGACAGGTGCCATTGTAAAGAGATAATCAATGTTATTCACTTCACCTGTATATATATACAGTATAAACTAAACGTGAAAAATTTTGGAAGCCATTTTGTTAAAAGGTGTTGTGTTAATTCCCCCTATGTATGGAGACTTTTGGGACACCCTGTATATAGCCAAACATATGTGGAAACCTCACCATCGAGCTTGCTTTTTGCATAGTGGCAGTGTCATTTTGGAACAGGTTTGGGCCCCTTAATTCCAGCTAAGGAAAATCGTAAAGCTACAACATACAAAGACATTCTGGACTATTGTGTGCTTTCAACTATATTGCAAAAATTTGGGGAAGGCCCACATATGGGTGTGATTGTCAGGTGTCCACAAATGTTTGGCCATATAGTGTATTTTAAGACTGATGACAAGTTTGGAATGTCAAATGTATAGACCTGATTAGTGAGTTTTACTCCAGACTATAGTTCATATAGGCAAACCTAAGATATAAACAATAATACTCTAGGAATATCAGCTAACTATAACCTAAAACCCAAATCAGCTTGCCTTTTGGCTTACATATAAGTGATTGCTTACAACAGTAAAAGTTTAATTTGATAATTGCCAATAAGGCTCAACTAACAGTTACACACCAGAGTCAGAATGAAGAGTTATAAAAGAAATCAGAAAATATCTGTTGCAGACTCAAGCTTATAATATTACTATAAAAGATACACATCAGGAAATTCATTTTTAAAGCATATTTTTGATGGAAACGTTGAGAAAAATGCATTATAACTTGACAGAATTGGTAAGGGTGAATGGGTCCTGATGAGATGAGATTTCATTTGATGAAAGGAAAAAAAAGATAAATGATGACTGGTAAAGTAAAAAAATAAAAATTAAAAAAAAGCAAGAAAAAGCAAGCTGCTCCCTAGTGAGATTTCTCCAGGCTAAACAAGCAACATTGCTGTAAGCAGCACTGCAAATCTCTCAGTGTGTCTCTTTTACTCACTGTCCCTCTGTCTGTACCTCAGTGTAAATAAAAGATTTACATATCTCTGATATTTAGCTATTTTTGTGTGTTTCCATTACTTTAAGCATTTATTTCTCATTCATTTCTCTTCCTTATACAGTATCCCATCAAAGCAGGCTGCGACTTTATGAGAAACAGGCTTTTGAACATATCCTTTTAGCTTTTGAGCAAATTTGCAAGATTGTGGTTGTATCACTTTCACATTTAATGTTCTGATTTCTTTTTTAACTTACTCAGAACTCAGTCTAGAATGTGTGACTTTTTTTCACTTCACAGTAAGATTCAACATGACTGGTTCATTGCATTAAATCTGGATTTTAGGTAACAAATCTTTATAATTCAGAAAGAATAAACTGTAGAGTATGTACAGTATTTCTGACACTTTAATTGTGACCAGGTGTATAACATGCCTCATAAGATTGAATGTGAACATGTCAGTTCTGGTTTTTGTTTGGTGTGCAATTTGTTTTTGTTTTTTTCCCCAATGTACTAGATTTAGTCGGAAAGAAGTGTTATTTGGGACATATGAGGCAGACAAATGTCCATATGATATAATCAAGAGAAGATTAGCAAATGGATTCTGAGTTATTTTACATTCTTTTGTCTAATTTTTGTCTAATTCCATATTGATTTATGTACTTTCAGGGGGCTGAAGACATAAAAGGACCAGATACACCATCTCAATGTCTTCAAACAAAAAGCAACTTCCTGTTTGTACAAATCATATAACTAGATTAAATAGTTGTACTCTGAAGATTCTTACGTTCTTATTTAAGTTCATTAAACCACTGCGGAAAATTGTAAAGCCAGTATTATGTCTGGAATAATTTGTACAGGTCATGGTGTGTTATAGACAGATATGCACGTTTCATGGGCAAATAGCTCCTCAAGTATGTACAGTATGTACAACTTACCTGAGATTGAACTCATTTTTTGAACAAATAGTTTATTTGGAAAAGCAAATAACAGTGTAAATCTACTTCTTACCTTCCACCATGAAGCAAATACCCTAAAGCAAATAAATCACTTTGTAAAAACATTAATTTGCTTTGCAAACCTCCAAACATATGGAGCATCTTTGTATTGATGGTTGATTGCAAATAATATGCTCATTAAAAAAAAAATCAGACGCAGGTGTTAGTCTATATCTTCAGGGTACCTTCGCATGTCAGGTTATTTTTTACAGTCTGAAGCGTTTGTTCAGAAGTTGAAATATGTGCAGAGGTCTGCTGCAACCTACATAAATTATGACCTGAGGCATTCAGCCATTTGCATACAGGTAATGAAATACTCAAATGTGCCAGAGCACTTCGTAGACAGAGCGGCTGAGTCAGTAATGATGACATAAAGCCCGCAGAGGAACCAGGGTGATTAATGGGAAGCGAATAAGTGTCGCAGCAACCTTACACACCCAACCAGCCAGGAAACTGGGCCAGACTCACAGGTTAACACTGCCAAGCCTCTCAGCACAGAACACTGCTGCCTTTGAGTTCCTAAAGTGAGCTACAGTAAGTGAGATCAAGGAGAGAAATCAAACATTTTTGCTGCTTTTCAGGAGACAAGAGACCATCACTGCCCTCATTTTTCATATTTGCTGAGTTCTGAATTGCCTTTAGAAAAGGCCCATAAAGTGCATGTACTCAGAGCTTCAAGCCAAGAACTTGTAGCAGGGCCTTTGCATCACTAAAAATGATTATATGGGGGTGTTATCTTTTATTCTATACAGTATGTAAATGTTTCAGTGCTTGAAAAGTTAATGTTGTTGTTCCTCTTTCAGCGCTTCCCATTAGGGGTTGCCACAGCAGATCATTGGTCTGTGTATTTGATTTTGGCACAGTTTTTATGCTGGATGCCCTTCCTGACACAATCCTCCCCAGCTTTATCGGGGCTTGGGACTGGCACTGAGGGCTCACTGCTGCACGCACCTCCAGTGGCTGGAGTTGGTTCCCTGGCCAGGAATCGAACCCAGACCGCAGCGGTTCCAGCGGTGTGGCCTACCCACTAGTCCTCCAGCGACCCAGTGCTTGAAAAAGAGAATAATAGTAATTTCTTGTATTAAAATTCTGTTGAGTAAATGACCCATCATACTAATTACTTTAAAAGTTTGATCTACAGCTCTTTTAACCATTCAAGGGGTAAAACTGGCTTTTATGTTTAAATTCAGCTCAAGCCCTATTAAGAACCGTTCAACACTCTTTCGTTTAGGATCACTGAATTTTGCCTTTGCAAGGGAATTTAAACTCATGGATGTTAAGGCATATACTACATATGGTGGTGCTGAATGGCAAGACACTTTTTACATAAAGTTGACTATTTTTTAGGTGTCATGCCTTTGAGGGCCACTGTATTTACATTTAAGATCCTGATTTCTGCTCTTATGTATTAGTGAATATGTGAATTACAGTATATTTGCTCTTGGAAAATGTAATTTAAATAAGAATACTTGTTACAGCCTGAACCTGTAAAAGTTCACACAGTGTAAAGAAAAGCTGAAGATAATGGGAAAATGGCATTTTAATACTGCTTTTATGAAAGTGTACACTTTTTTTTTGGTGTCAGAAATAAAAAAAAGACTTCACAAGAGTTCGCAAAAAGCCATCAGAGCTTTAAAACATGTGTCCTTTAATATTTTTTAAAAAGCCAACATCTAGCGTTAGACACAGATGCACAATCCTTATTTTTATTGTATTAATGATGGAAGCACTAACATTTCATGGCTTAATTAAAAACAAGCAACTGTTTTTCTACATATAGATTATATTATGAACTGGAATTGTGAACCAATCAGTAGTATTATCTCTGCCAAGTTGGCTTATGGCCATCACAGAAAATGTAATGCTTGCTGTACACAGTGCAATCATATATTATGCACAATACAGTCTGTCTGATCCGAAGGCAAAATAGCCCATAATTTTTTGGATTTTTGCTTAAAAGGAGAAAAGCTATTAACACAAATAAACAGTTCTGCATGATAGTTTTTGTCAGTCAGCCAGAGTGACAGAACACTGAGAGTTGAAAACAAGGAAAGGACAGATATAGAAATATCATATATTTTAGGTGAAAGGAATATAAATTATAAATTACAAGCTTAGTAGGGAACTAAAATAAACTTCAGAGTTTTTATGTAATTATTTAAATCCTTAGTGAAATGAAGTTCTCAGTTTTGAAAATAGTGCTGGTGAAATTAAAAAAAAAAAACTCTTTGCATTTGAATGTCTTCAAATCCTACCAACATCCCTGCACCAGTCTACAGAGCAATTTCTTATGTTTAAACACATTTATAAGCAAATTAAGCAAGAACCTTTAACAATCCATTTGCTTTGCTTTAGAGTGAAACTTATCTATGCGTAATATATTTATTCATAATGAACCCAAAAGGCTTCATGTACCAGAATTAAACAGATTACCTCGAGGCAAAAAAAAAAAAAAAAGAAAAGAAAAGAAGAAGAAGAAGAAGAAGAAAATTTAGAAAGCATACAGTTAATAAAATATATTTTAGAGCAAAACATTAGTACAAAATGTTCAAGACACTATCTTGATGCATGCTTAGGATCATTATCTTGTTGCAGTTCCAAAACTGTTAAAAATGGATGTCATTACTACTTTCCCTAAGGCTGTGACCTAATCTGAAACCTGACTGAATTGTTTTTTAAATTAATGTTATTTTCATGGGGAAGTAAATTTACCGATACGAATACTTTAAATTACTTTACAGCAGAATAAGATTGGAGATTGGAGTAGATTGGAGGTTATGTGATAAATCTAGTTTGTGTATTTTCAGAACATGTTTGATTATAGCTGTTTTGAGTGCTTGCACTGAGGAATGTTTGGAATGTGACATGTGACATAGTACGTCAATCACTGAAGAACAGAAGGGATTAAAAGCCAATCAAATAACACTCTAAGATCATTTTCTTTATCATTCAGGCTATTTTTAATACATGCCTTGTGTCAGGTTGAAAGTTTTTAATTCTGTTAGCACATTAATATTTACATATCTACAACTGAGCCTCTTACTTCTTCTTGCTGTATACACACTAAAGAAAATTGGATTTACCATCACTTATTCTTTTTTTTTTTATTAGTGGATACAGGAGATAGTAAAAAGAATGTCTAATCACATAACAGTTTCCCAAGACAAAAGCTTTTATCTGCTACATTTAAAGGCCAGAAAGCAAATAGGCTAGGGCTAAGCAGCTTATATGCACTGCTGGCTGTGTTGATTAGACAGGAATTAATTTTCACTGGGCAGTAGGTCTCAGCAGAACATCTTACCAGTTTTCTTCTTTAAAACTGTTGTGGATCTCCAGATGGTAATTTAGCGCTTTAGCTCCTGTAGCCGTCCCGCTTCATATATTACTGCAGCTAGTCGCTGGAGGCAGCGGTCTTAAACCCCAGCGATCCTGAGTGTCTCATTGGCTGCTAGCATGCAAATGGGGCCAGATGGCAGGAGGCCCCTGCTGAGGCCTTGTCAGGTGAGCACTGGAATTCTCAATGAGGTGGTGGAGAAGCACTGGAAACAGAAGAAGACAGGTACTACTTCTACACAACTGAGCAGCCCTGACAGCTAGTGCAAAATAATAAAAAAAAAAGTCCTACTGCCAGGGAGGATTTGAGGCTCCGGGATGGTGCAGTGTGCGTCTCCCTCTATTTGGTTTCACTACAGAACTAACAGGGGATGACCAGAGGAGCTGCGCCTCTGGGCCTCACCAAAGACTTGTAAATGGGGGTTGCTGATGGAAATGCCTGTGATTTACAGACCACAGAGTGTGAACGGCTGTATTCAACTTATTTGTGATAGCAAATACAGACACTCCTTTGTGTGATATTCGTATGTTGTATATAAAGCAGATTCATACCAAAAGGAATTGTCTATTGTGCTTGGCACTTTTTAAAACACTGATTTTTATGCAGCATAATCAACAGGTTTCCTACAAATTTCTTACCCATTAATGGAAAAAAGATTTGTCTTTACCTCAACTAATTATTAATGTTCACCATTACTGTTATAATCATAAAAACCTGGGTCACATAGGACTGTGGTAGCCAAGATCGAGTGATTAAATTGGGATTCAGGAGATATATTGCTATAATGGTGCCAACAATGTAGGAAACTTTAACTACTGTATATATTATATGGAGTTCTCAACATTATTGTCATGAAAATGTGATTAAAACAAATATTTATTTCTGTTTCATTCTGTAGTTTTACAACCTGGAATTCAAATGGGTTTAACTAACTCAAATTTCTCATTTGATTTACAAAGTATGTCTAACCCCAAAAGTACTTGGTAGCACCACTTTTGTCTGTAACTACAGATTTGCCCATTCTTCTTGGCAAAATTGCTCCATCTCTGTCAGCAATTTTCAAGTCTTGCCACAGACTTTTGGTGGACAGCCTCCTCTAGGCAGAGTTGCAGCTGTGTCATACTCTTTCTTTTTTTTTTTTTAATAATGTATTTAATGTTGCTCCACAGGAAGTTGAAAGTTGGGATTTTTTTATATTCAAACCCTGATTGATACTATTACAGAGGTCTTTTGATACCTTCTTGGTCTCTATGATGATGTTTATTTAGGTATGTTCTTTAACAAACTCTTGGGGCTGCCAGTAACAGGTGTATCTGTATTCAGATCATGTGATAATTGCACATAGGTAGACTCCATTCAACTAATTATGTGTCTTCTGATGCTTGCACCAGAACTTATTCAGGGGTTTCAGAGCAATGGGGGCAAATACTTATGCAATCACAACTCTAATTAAAGTACAAGGTGTCCCAAAAGTCTCCATACACAGGGAAAATTAACACTCATGGCTGGATTGGGAACCTACCGCAAGGTTTCGATGGACCTTAACAGGAAACATGGCAAGTACATCACAAACGACACTGTTGCCAAACTGGGAGCCAAAGTTGGGAGAGATGACTCCATGTGTGTTTAAAAGAAATGGCAATCCTGTAGAGGATGTTTTATAAATAAAGTTACATTTTGCTAAAAAGTGTTAATTTCCCTTGTGTTTAGAGACCTTTGCGACACCCTGTATAGTATTTATGCAAGGCCCTGTATAATAAATGAATTGTGGCTCCTTTTTCCCCAGACTCCCCCAGACTGAGTAAATAGATTTTTGCTTACTGACTGCAGCTGACTGATGACTCACAAATTGTTGCAACGCACGTGTGTGACAGTCGCTCAGGAAATCAGCAATCCCTCACTAAACTCACAGAAGAAGAGTAGCAAAGCACTCTGCTATAGTACTATTCTTGTCAGAACTGTATTGTGATTATTGCTATCTTGTGCTTCTATTGGCTGGTAGTTATTATTTATTCTTATTTTTATCTCTTAACCAGTATTGAGATATTAATGTTCCGATACTGTATATCATTACTGTCCCAGGTTGTGCCTGTATTTGCGTTTGGACCAAATTAAAAAAGGATGCCTGTTGAGCATACAGTGCACTATGTAAGACATTATTTGATACATTATGTAGTGCCCTAGGACAGGAAGTGTGATGTCATTTTCATCAACAATCGAACAAACGATATATATATAATGGCTCGAGTCAGAAACTGATCAATTATGTGACTGCTGTGAGAATTTAAAAATGCATGTGGGTCTCTCACCTCACTGAGCTTGTGTGGATTGAAACACTTGGTCAAAATGAAAATATGTCCTGTGAGCTGCATGCAGGACAAACTATTAAAAATGGTTCAGAAATGATTTCATAAAAAAATGTTGTCCGCATGATGGCCTGTTACCACATTCATGGACCAAGAATTGAATGCGTTTATTCTGCATGCTGTATTATGTTCGTAACCAAAGAACAACAGGGTTGTCATTAGCTACATTTCCTTGAGCTAATAAATTTTCTATCAATTTTCCAACTGATAGCGCAGTGAGAATAAAAAATGTTCATGTCAGAATTCAAAGGCCAATCCAAATGAAGTTTCTATGTGATTAAATGAGGTTGTAATCCATTTAATAGAAGACAAAATATTCCTTTCACTATCTGTTCCATAAGA